GCCTCATCATGGCCATCATTTTAGATTTTTTTTCTTTGTGCTTTCTCTCATTTTAAGTGACTCCCTCTTTTGACCCCTTTAAGGGTTTATCTCATTGAGAATGTGGAGTTTCCTGACAAGGAAAAGTGCATTTCAGACTATAGATAAAGCCTGTTGGCTGATTGTACTACCCCTCTGTAGTACTTTCACTGAGACTGAGCACCTTGTTGTGTTTGTGAGTATTGTTTTGAACCTAGCACAAGAAGATTGAAGCTTGAACTGTGTCTGAGCCTGGATAACCTTATTGGATAACCTTTGACCGTGCTGCTGTTTTAACTGAAATATGGCCAGCAACACTGGGAGCCATGCTTCCTTCACTCTAAGCCCTGATAATGCTTATCATCACCATCCTACCAGACCTTCATGCTGAGTGATGCTTCTGTCTTCTTCCTCCTCTCCTCCTGCCTTTTCCTCTCTTGTCTTCCCTTGTCCTTGTGTTGGCATGGCCCACACACAGATAGTTATGCTAAGTGCTTCCACTTAGCACAGTCCTTTTTCTCGGCTCCTTCTAGTTTCTGCCACTGGCGGCTATCTGCCCAGGTCACTGTTTTGATAAGATTAAGCCTTGCCCCTTTGGCCTTGCACATAAACATCAATTCAGCTTTGTAACAGAAAAAGGCATAAGCTGCACTGGTATGTTGACTAGAATGTTGATATTAACAAGGTGCCAGGAAGAGGTTTGGGTTTGAAATTATCCTGTTGCATGACATGGTGACAAGAGTTCAGATGGTGTCAGTTCTTAAGTCAGTCCTCAAATTGACAAAGTAAAAATTCACATCCTTGTTTTTTTATGGTTTATTTGAAATAAACCATCAAAGGAATTTTTTTCAGCCAAGGCAAAAGCTATTTTTTGAAGACTCTAGCATAGAGCTGCATTATTTAAGGTCGAGATATCGGCTTGAAAGCACCAGTGGATATCAGACTTGATTTTCAAAGCTTTGAGTACTTATGCTTTGCTCTATATTTCTCCCTTGCTACTGTTATTCTCCTGTTATTCCTGTTCCAGACTCTTATAGGAGTTCTGGATCTTTTTAACTGGAACTATTGGTACCTCATGCTTGATTATTATACACAATAGAGGTATTCTGTCTTAAGTATCTGGATTGGATTTGTGTCGTTATTCAGATTTATGGTTCTGCACTCAGCACTGATTGCTGCGGTTCAGATCACACTGCACATGATTCACCCCGCATTTTGAAAGATGTTTGTAGTTGACTGAATATGAATTTGTTTGGTAAAATTTTCAGCTTTACCGGAACATCTGGGCCTTAAAACACCTGTTTATAGTGTATATAGCTACCTGAACTGTTCTTTTTTCTTGATTGGCCCCCACATCCTTTCTCTATGTTCCTAGCATTGTTATAGGGGTTACAGGTGGGGGTTTGTTATTGTTTGCTCAAATAGGCAGATCTCTTTATTCCCTGGTGGTTATAATCGTTGTTAACATTGTTTAGGCCTGTGCTCAGCTGAGCTTGGCCTGTGAAAGCCCCTGGGTCTGCCGGCTCAATGCCAGAGAACGCACCAAACAATACAGAGAGGCAGGGGCCGGCCAGAGGTGAGAGGGAGAGATGGAGATGCAAGCAAAGATATTTGATGGAATGAAGGAGACTGAATTTTTGGGGGGTTAAAAGATATGAATAGAGAGATTGTCAGAACTGAAGGAGGGAATAGGAAATACAAGTGTCACTTTGTTTCCCAAAACATATGAACAGGTATCATTATTGTTCAGCATATTGCCTTTTCCATCTTGTCTGCATGTACAGACCAAACTGCAGACACACCACTCTTTTGTTATTTTTGCTTCTAAATATATTTTAAGATTGAAGAGAGAAGAGTAACAGCCCAAATTGTTACAAACAGAAGGGCTGCAGTCAAAGCTATCAGGACTTGAATGCAACGCAGTTTGAAGGAAGCCCCTGCACTTGTCCTCGGTGACCTTATCAAGTCATATTGAATATTGATATATCATCGGTCAGTTATTCATGAGCTGTGCTCAGTAGCTGTGCAGATGAGTACTATATTACTAAAGCATAGGTAGTCATTACGTAACCCTTTTTTTTGTTGTTCCCAGAAAGTGTTCCTTGATTTATAAATGCAGTTGAGCTGCAAATCAAACCTTGTGTTTTCAAAGCACCACCAAAAGAGCAACAATTCTGGGAGAATAAAAACAGAGGGTCAATTCACCATCCTCCCCCAAGACTATTAACGAGAATAGTAATTCCCCCAGCGTTCCAAACAAATAAATACAGCAGTCGGAATAACCATTAGGAGCCCTTATCCAAACGCTCAGCTCACAGAAAGTGAGAGGGAGAGAGTGTGCGAGTTTCGGGGTGAGAACGGGGGCACGAGGGAAACAAGGTCAACACTTCAGTGTGCAGCGTCATGTTTTTTTTCCCCCCTCTTTCTTTCTCCCCATCATTCTTTCTTTTGGAAGAATGAGAGGAAGTGATAATCCAGTGCCTGTCCCCTTCCCCCCTCAGCCTAGCCTAGTGTTTGTTCAGCCAGAGAGGAGAGTGAGGCCGATAACACCACCGCGGGGTCACCGAGAGGTGAGAGAGAGAGACAGAATGAGAGCGAACGAATAGAAGTTCATGGGGAGGTGAAGGCGGAGCGGTGAGAGGCAGAGCAGAGAGGTGAAACCTGGGTCATGAATGTGTGTGACGAACCAGCCAGCGCCGTATGGAATGTGAGCATTTCTGTGTGTGTGTGTGTGTGTGTTTGCGGAGTTACAGATGACGCTGGTGGTGCATGGCCCCCTTCTTCTCTTCCTCCTCCTACTCATCATAGTCTTCCTCCCTTTCAGTCTTGCGAGTTGTTGTTGTTCTCTTCTGGCGGTCAGGATGCACAGAGCGTGCCTGCAGGAGAAAGCAGAAGAAAGAAATCTGAAAGCGATACGCATGCAAATCTTCTCACTTATCACACCCAGGTGCTTATCTGCCGCCACACTAGTGCACTGTGGTCTGTGTCTCTGTGTCCCTGTTTTCATGTCTGTGTGCTTGAGGTGGTGTCATGAGAGCAAGGAAACAGCCGGCAATCTTTTGAGGTTGCTTCCTTCATACTCTGTGCACTCGATCAGAAATAGGGACTTCTGTTCATTCATCTCGCTCCATCTCTCAAAAGTATACACATATAAACAAGCATATTTTCGGCACTGGATATGGCCCCTTTTCTATCTGGGGGATGAGCTTGGCCAAACTAGCTGTGAGGACACCGAGGTCTGGACCTCGGTAGTTTACGAAGGGTTTTTCCCTTTTCTCCATTCATGAGATAAAATGTAGAAACAACACCGTTGCAATAATACAGTCCACTGAAGGGTGCAGCCACAGTATCTCTGGCCTGCCCAGTTAAATGGGGTCTGAATATTTATTATGCCACAACTATATAATGTGCAGTGACAGGTTCTCAGCTGACCTCAGAACAGCTGTGGTTCAGCCCTAGAATTAACTGCCTGCTCTGTTTCTCTGTATGAGCCGCTACACAGCCCTGAGTACCAGAGTGACTTTGACTTCTTGAAATGTTCAGGTATGCAGCACACATGCTATAGGCTAACATATCACCATGGTAAAAAAAAAAAAGGAAGAGTTTATAAGCATAATTAACAGATTATGCTTGTAAAATGCAAACTCCACAATTTGTGTTTTTTTAATATTTAGAACACTTATAACTAAATCAGCATGTTTAATCTACTTCAGGTAGCTGCTCAGTTTAGGTTGCAGGCTGCATAGTCGTCTACATTAAGCTGTATTTTGTTACCTACACATAACACACTACAACCAGCAGGAGAAAGATCACTATTAACTAGTATGTTGATGGTATAGTATCATGTAGCTAACGTTAATAAGAAATCAGCAGGTATGTTAGGCTGTGTTTTGTCTTTTAACTGTATGAGTAGCTATCTTTCCTGTTAGCTGAGGTTCGGTATAGACAGCCTTTTATGTGTGTTTGTGTGCTTTTCCACTAATCAATGAGGACAGAGATGCAAAAGAGAAAGAGAGGGAGGGGTAAATAAAAATAAAATCAATTTATCGCTTGAGTTAGTGTAGGTTTCAAGATGTATTTTCAGCTGAAAATAAACATAAATTAGTTAAATGATTATTTAAATAAACTTAAAGAAGTAGAATTTAGACACCAAATATGTCTCGGCTGATTGACTAATTCTGGAGTAAGTGGAAAATTGTGTCAATTAGATTTTACTTGTGTTGCTTTAAGACCAATAGTGAACGTGTTGCCTGAAATTACACATATGTAGTTATGCAGTAAACAAAAAAAAATGAACCGGACCATAATAATTTATAATAAATGTTTTCATGTGGGAAGGGGGGATATTCTAAAATAATTTAAATCCTTATATAGGTGTTATCAAGCATTTAAGCACTAGCCTGCATCAAAATGTCTGAGTATAAAAGATGTGCATTCAGTCAGGTGTGTCTAGATTTTTGACTAGTACAGTATGTACATCTGATACAGCACTTCACTGAATCACTGTCTCTGGGTCAGTGTGTGTGTGTGTGCGCGTGTGGAATGCGCTGGGTTGTTGATAGGGGTGCTGTGCTGAAGGTAGCAGCTTTTGAAAGGGCCTCAGTGGGTCAGTAGCTGTTTGGGTCAATCGCAGGTCATTACCGGGTCAGGCCTGGGTCATAGGCGGACCAAAACATCCCGGCTCGCAGGGTGAAAAAGTGTAAATGGCTGTTCTCTCTTTAACCTCCCTCCATTCTCCTCTAATCCCCTGCTTTGTCATGTTCCTCTCCCCTGTGCCTCCCCAGTAATCTAATTTAAGAGGCCCTGCTCACTTATGTAACACTGGGGAAAGTGAACTGAACTGCTGAGCTTCAATAATGCCAGGGGGGGGACTGATGCTGTCATACTGAACTTGAACTGCTGTGATGAACTTCAATGACTCTCTCTCTCTCTTTCTTTCTTTTTCTTTCTTTCTTTCTTGCTTTCTTTCTTTTTCTCCCTAGCTGTTAGATCTCTTTACCCAGTGGGACTGGTCTACGTACCTTGCTGATTATGGACGTCCTACCTGCAAGTACTTGAGGGTCAACCCACATACTGCCCTCGCCCTTTTGGAGAAGTGAGTCGCACACAGCCTTGCTATGGTCACAAAGTCATACACTGAGTTTAGTAGATACACCTACATTGTATTGTCACTTATTTACCATTTTATCAAAAACACCTGCCACATAGGTGCACTTTGTAGGTCTTCTATCCTCACTAGCGGTACCCAATCCTGGTCTTGGTGATCCACAAGAGAGAGTTACAAAGTTTAGTTCTAACTAGGGATGTAAGTAATTTAGAGATGACCATTAATCGACAAATAAACAATTGTTTGACCAATGTATTTGGCAAAAAAAGTTTGGTTTCCTTAAATATATCAACAAATATTTCAATAAATATAACAGTTCCAATTTGAATAGGCAGGTTTATCATTCCACTTGAGAAATGTTTTCAAATCATACACATAAAGGCAGAACGGGCAGTTGGTTCCAATAGCATGCAGCTAAAAATTGTGAAAGGACACTTTTCAAGAGGCCATAACACAACTACAGCGATGTACCATATAGAAAGCAAACATCCACAAGTGATAAGACACTTTTATATTTCGTTGAAGTTTTCCCAAAGCTGATATGATATGAGAAATTCACGAGTCTGCAAAGTTATAGAGAAGGATGTGATGGACAGCGTCGGCTTTCAAGAACCACTGAAGTACACAGAGCAAAAGCTTGCCCCAGAAAGGGCATTCTTGTTATTTTTAACTTGGCTATAAAAGAGTAGTAAATATGACTTTAGAAGTTTAGAATGTAGAACAAATCAACTTTTTGGTTATATAATCATGAACATATGGTAGTTATTAGCCCCTCAATTAAAAAAAAGCCAGATTTTTACAAAGGGTGTTTAAATATGGTGTACTTCACATGCACGCTTATTTCTGGCCCCACTTGTCAGTACCACGTTTCATGATCCATACATTTTTTTTTGAATATCTGCATATGCACAGAATTCAATTGATGTGTACACTCATAAGTGTGCGTATGTTTTAAGTACAGCAGCTTCCATCTAAGTAGTTAATTAGCAAGCTCTTGAACTATGTGTTTTAGAGCGGGAAAACACAAAAATCTGCAGGGCAGGGGGTAGTCCAGGACCAGGGTTCGGAACTTGTGCTCTATCCCATCCATCAGTGAAAAGGCTTGTAGTGGAATTAGTGTATAAAGTGCAGCAGCATTGCTGGGGTTTTTACATGCTGTATACACTTAATGGCCACTTCATTAAGTGTATGATCAGAGACTGTGGCTCATCTTTTACATGCACCATTTGTGTTGGTCTTTCTATAACTCATCAGTGGTCAGTTTCTGACCACAGGACCACTTCTGGCAAAAAGTTTTGCAACACTTTACAATGAGATGTAAATGGTAAAAATAGAAACTATCATTTTGATTTTAATAAGTTGTTTATATTTATTACTAAATGGAGAGGTAATATCTCAGTTAACCATTGATTAATGGTAGTAATGATATCTAGCATTTTGTTTTAGATTTTATTAAGGAGTTTATTGTGCTCATTACTGTGACTCAACACTTTGAACACTAAGAACTAAGCACTAAAAACAGTTTATTGAAGTCTATAATGTCAAAAAATGTCAAATAAGATCTTACCTTACCTTATACCTTATCATTCACAAAAAAACTATTAGGAGAAATATTAGACCATTAAATCATTAACCAAAATGTCATGTTAACATTTTAATAATCGTTTACATATAACAACTCAAATGCTTGGTAAAGATGGCAGACGGAAAGATGTATGATTCAGTTGCCTAAACTGCTCCTGCCCTGCATGTTTAGGTGTTTCCCTGTTCCAGCTAATCAGACTCCAGTTTCCCAAAATCATCTTAGAGTTAAGATCATCTTAACTGGTGTGGTGTTCAGTGTAATACTCACTCTACTGTGTAACAATAATCTGTGCTACATTAGGACTCCAGGCCCCATGGTCTTTATGTAGATGCTCGCTTTTTCTATTCTCTCCAAGTAGATGCTAACACATTTCTTTACTTCTAGTGTGTTAGTTTTAAAATTGTGTTATGTTTATATATATATATTTATATTATCCAATTCTTTTTGACTGTATTACCAAATAATAATTTAATGTTTAATAAATTTAATGTTCTGTGTAACGTATATTGTAAAGTTTTTTACACTTAAGAACAGCTTTATAATTACACAACAGTGTTTAATAAATATTACATGACCAATATGTTCTTTACATATGAATAAGAAATGTACTTTTTAAAATAATGTTTGTGACATACTCTGCTCTTATGCATTTCTGAAGTGTCTATGCAGTTGATATTTAAGACTTTATTTAATTAAGACTTAACCGTTTAGTTTAGTTTTGCTCTCTTACATGCTGTTGATTGATGTACTCTTATTGTAGTGTTACCAGTGTTTTTTGTTTGGCGGACTGTTCTCAACCCAGCAATGACATTGAGGTATTAAAAACCCAAGCAAAGCTGCTGTGCCTGATACACTTGTACCAGTATTGTGTCGGTGACACAGCCGTGCTGAGAATGGTCTGTTAGCTATAGTTATCTATACCTATAAAATAGCTGATAAGTTGCACATTGCAGAAGGGATACAACCTACAAAGTGCACCTATATAGTAGGTGTACCTGATCAAAATGGCAAATATTTTACATACACACACTGTTTTTCCCACTGTTGACAGAAATTTAGATGTGTCTCCTCAGCTTTTTCATACTTCTGTATTGCATTTTTCATATTTCTGTCTTCTGCCACTGGCCCTGTCTCACTCCATATTTTCCCCTCTCTCATCATTCGCTCTTCTATACATGAGCAGGATTTCTCGAGCGTGAGTACTCTGCTCTCTGCATGGTGTGTGTACATGAGAAAGACTGGAATGCACTAATATACTCAGAAATGCAGACTCCAGGGCTGGCCCGAACAGCGTTTTACAGGCTTTGAATACTAATTGGTATTTCTGGTTAAGTATCAGTTCAGAATATAGGTTCAGTAGGCAGTTCAAAATATTTCCAGTAGGCAGTAACAGTATATTAATATTTAGGATGAGGTGCTGCTGCTTGCATGCTGTATTTTGCAGCGGTTTTAGCCCTCTCGTTCAAATACTGCTTGTATCACTTGTATCACTTACATTCATGAATCATGTATCTAGACACCAAGGATGCAAAAAATTAGAACTATTGTTTTGTTTATCCACACAGTTACTGTTAGTTTATTTAGTCTTTTTCATATATTTTATCATTTTTTTTTTTTATTTTTGGGTAGTTCACTGAGGGTGACCCACAGGCTGAGTTAAGTTCAGTCATCACCAAGCTACAGAGAGTGAAGCAAAGGACCGAGGAACTTTCAGAGCTGCAGGCTTAGGTGAATATGAGGAGGAGCACCCTAGAAGTGGCTTAGCAGGTATCGCACTTAGCTGGTGCAGGCTGTCCTCCTGAAACCTTAACCAAGTTCAGAGGACACAAGCTGCAAAGCAAAGGGACCGTCAACACTTTGATCACGTTCACTGGCGTACGTAACTAACGAATACTCGAGTATTCCGATTATTCGGACCAGCCCTACTAGTTGTGTAGAACTTTATGCACAGCAGTGAGTCAGCGTTTGGTTTTGCATGTGGAATTATGGAGTAGTGCATTCTTTTGTACTTTCTTATCTGTAACATGTTCTTATGTACTAGATGACATGATCACTCTCCAGTTTTTTTTTCCTCACTCCTTTATCCTCTCCTTCTCTGGAAAGATTACACATTCTCTGTTCCCTGTGGTACACATGCACATGAACATTCACACAAACATGCTCCAGCCTGATCCCATTTGAGCTGCACTTACCCTGGCCTTACCCTCTCGGTCCCCAGGGCTCAGTGAAAGTGATCTGCATTACTCACACTGCACTGCACTGGCACCAGTTAGCAGACTGCAAACCGGGCAGATCGTGTGGGTGTGTGTGAGAGAGGGAGAAGAATTACCTTTCATTTTGGAGTGTTCTCTGGAGATAAGGCTGTTAAGCCATTTTTAAGTGGAAAGAAAGAGGAACTGTATCTGTACATACGTTACCCATCAAAAGTTTGGAGACACCTTGCCTTCTTTTGAAACATTTCTAGTAATTTTTTAGATTTCATGGTTACTTCAGTTAAGAAACAGATAACCCGCAAAGGTTTACTAGCTTTTTATTATAAAACACAAAATACAGTACTGTGCAAAATTCTGAGACTACCCTTCATTTATTAAGTGCATTATCATTTTATAGCATCAGGGGAAAAAACGTAGAAGTTGGTTGCATTTTTTTTTGCTGTTCACAATCCATGTAATCTCAAACACATTCGGTGATGTTGAATTCTGGGCTCTGGGGTGGTCAGTCCATTGGTCTGAGATCAACAGCAGCTTCTTTGTTTGATTTGCAGATGTTCTTTTTGTCTGTTTGCTTTTCTCAGTAAGGGCTTTGTGACAGCTACACATCTTTTCAGACTCAGTGTTGTCTGCTCAAAGTGGAAGGATGGACAGAAACACCTGTGGATTTTTTTTAGATCTGTAGCAAGTGTGGACTTGATTTTCTCCTTTCTCTCAAAGATTTAAGTCTTGACCTGGTAGTACTTTTATCAGTTGTTCAGTTTTGCTGTTTTTTTAAAGGCAGATGACAAATGGCTTCATGTTTAACTTCTCAAGTGTCCAAACTTATATTACACATTATGCATTACATAATTCTATAATCTAATAATAGCTCAGCCAGTTTTTGCCTTAAAGTTTAAGGCAAGCTTTAATAGTAATGGTATAATATGCTTGGGATTTTAAGTGATTCATATATTAAGATATTAACCAAAGGCAATAAAAATGTAGTTATTTACTAAAAACATTTTGAAAAACTTTTAATGAACAGGTGTATATCGAGACATTAACAGGAGGCTCCTTTGTTGGAGGATATGGAAAATAAACAAAGAAGCAAAAAAAGATGAATATTGTATTAGACCAAAATATGTTTTTGGGTTCATGTGTCTGTGAGGATTGTAACAGTCTTTAAGTCGGTATATTAAGACTTTGTCTTGATTTGAAAGATGAAATACTCCACTCTGTGATTTCAACAACCGAAGATACACATCTAGTTTCCTTTCTCTTCATCCTTGTTTGGAAATACACACACACACACACACACACACACACACACACACACACACACACACACACACACACACAGGGCTACACACTCTCAAACACAAACATCCCATGCTAGGCGATGGTGATAGCTATCATACCCATGATAAGAGGCGGCTGTCTGTAATCATCAGACAAGTTCTGTGGCTACAGTGACACTGTCATACGTCCATAGTGATGGCTATCTTTTCTAATAACCCACAGCCATGTCGAAGATAAGTTATGTATGTGAATATAAGGACATGGTGATTGGGTAGAAAAGATAAGGGTTTGTTATGATACTTAACTTTGCTTGTATTGAGCCTATAAAACTGCCTAAAAAAGTAGGCTATCATGCTAAACCTACTTAAACCCTCTACTACCCCACAGGAAGAAACATCCAGCTAATGTCATCACATTACACAACATGAGTGGTATTTTAGGATAGATTTATTAGAAGACTGAATCAGACTAATTTTTCTCCTCTATCTGATCCAGCATCTGATACTCATCCATATCCACACACCATCTCTAACTTTTATAAATCTTAAATTTAAAGTTAAAATAAACTTAGTTTATTATAGGATAATATTTGGTTCTTTGAAAAAGCCATGATCAGTGATGATAATAAACAAAATAATAGTGATTTATCTTAGTTATACTGTTTTATCTTGTTGTTTTGAATGAACATGTGACAGGACCGCAGAGAACATTGGCTACGTTTACACAGCAGGTAAAAGTGGCCCAAATCTTATTTTCTCACCAAATCTGAATTTTTTGTTTGGCTGTTCACATTATCTTTTAAATGTGTCCTGTATGCGACATCAGTCTGAACCGATCACGCTCCTAAACCAACCCGCATGCGCAAAAGAACAATGCTTCATGTGGCGGCTCATCCTGAGGTAAATAATCATGACGGCCAGCGAACGCCAGTCACTCCCGGAGCTTTCAGTATCATCTTCACCAGCATCACAGGAGCAGTTCTAAAGTTCCAATGTTGACAGCTGGGCTCATCCCCCACAGTGTGTTCGAGTTTGCCGTAAAAAGGGCTCGATATTCGTCCACTTCTTTGGTTCATGTCCTCTGATTCTTTAAACTGTTCTTTGACGCTGCAGCCTCGGCCTCCTCCTGCTGCATTCGGCCGTTTCGTTCGAAACCTCTTCAAACACGGAGCGGTTTGGATGAGTGTCTTCTAGTTTTGGTACTGCAACATCAGCCTAAATGTTTGAGTTTCAGCAGCCCGAAATTATGATGAACGTCGAGTTGGACTGACGCAAAAGTCGCATGAATTCCGATCTGGCTGTTCAGACTGAGTCGCATTGCCGCAGATCGGATACGTATCGGATTTCAGTACCACATATGAAAGCGTCTCAAATCGGAATTGAAAATGTCAGATTCAGTGCGTTTTTTCCTGTTCACCCAGACACACAGATGACACATCTGTGTCACATTTGAGGAAAAAGATCGGATTTGGGCCCGTTTTACCTGCTGGGTGATGATGGTTGAGGTCAGGTCGGACCAAATTTTGGGTAAATATTTGGACTGAATTTAATGATGTGGTTTGGGTCAGGTTCATACAGAATTTTGACGGGCATCTCTTGTGCTAGCTGCATTCAGTATGCCAAATGTTAACACGTTATAAAAAATAATATAAAATAATATAAAATACAAAAAATAGTTTCTTGTTCAGTGATTCGAATATTATTGTTTAGAAATTAAGACATTCAAAAAGCAGAAATTATTATAATGCCCATAGCTAACACTTTATGAATCAACAGTCAATGTGCATTATCTTTTAAAGCAGTATTCTTGGTGGCTACAACTGTTAATGGGCTCTAAACATACTTCTAACTCCAAAGGGCTAGAGAGGAGTTTGCAGAAACTGTAGTTCCAGTTGGCCGTCTAGAGCCACACCATCCTGCGCTGGCTCAGTGATCTCCATGGTAGCCACTAGTGTGGGCAGCTGGCACAGGATGCCGTGAGCTTAACAGAATCACCATGCGGAAGTGCTTTTGGGGGTGCTGGGTGGAAGCACCATGCGGAACTGCTTGTGATACCCTGTACTGGTGGTCCACCTTCTATCACCAGACCCCTGTGGAGTTCTAGTCAGCTCCTGTCTTTTGAGGGCTTTATGGGGACGCAGCTCCTGTGACCAGCCTGCCACCCAGCATGAAACTAGAATTGAACCTGGTGTATCCTCAGCCCCTCCCTCAAGGCTTTGGCTCTGAAAGCAGGCTCCGAAAGAGTTGAAATCAGTAAAGGGATGGACCTTGCCACAGACTGTCCTATAAAATGTCTAAGGAGACCACTCTTATTCTGCCTTAACTCTTCAATGAGTGCCTCATGTCACTAGCAACCTGTCTTCCAATTTCCCCCCTACATGTTTGTCCTTTTCTTTTCCTTTTTTCCTAAAATTTCATTTTCTTCGGTTTCATTTTTCCCTTGTTAGAATGACGGACCTGTAGAAGATTCCATAAACACTGAGAAAGCTGTATAGCTTTTCAAATGAAGTTCCAGAATCCCTCATATTTGATAAGTCATTAAATTTTGATGCTGAAAACTTATCAAAACTGTAAGAGATACAGTATATTTGGTATTTAATACCTCCTTGATGCCTCCCCCCAAAAAACTTAATACTGAATGAAACATTGTAAAATACTTTCTGATGTCTAGCTCAATCTATACTGTCTATTATTGAATAAAAACAAATTATGAATGACAATGACCATTTTGAGCGATAGTGTATTTTTGTTATCTAAAATCCTCTTTCTCTCTTTAGGATGAAGGACACTAGTCGGAAAAACAACATGTTTGCTCAGTTCCGTAAGAACGAGCGCGACAAACAGAAGCTGATCGATGCAGTCGTCAAGCAGCTGAGGAACCTCATCGCTACCCACCAGTCCTGAGTCCACTGATTGTTATGTCAGCTAACCCCTGCATGTCTTCCTTGACTGGTCAGCTTTTCTGACAGAGCAGACTACACTGACACGTCTTTATTGGTGATGGGGGGGGCTCTTCACAGTTTAACTGTAAAAGACAACTACAACAACAAAAAAAAAGTTGCACTAACATACATGAGTGCCATGAGTCTTTGAAGACTAATATGTGCCTCACCCTGAGGTGTGCCTATTATGCCCAGACTGTTTTGCCATCCTGTGCAAATGTCTTACCAATATAACTCAGTGCCCTCAGTGTAAATGAGACCTCGAGTTACCTGTCTTCCTATATAACTATCTAAGCACACCATAGAGTTGCCAGATTGAGTTTTCACCATAGCCATTCTTTTGGTTCCCTTTCTTTTTATGTTTCAGTGACACTTTGGTTGACAGCTCTCCATACCTACCAACAGCACATTTGCCAGTATCCATGTATTTATCTATTTGGACCCATACTTTATAGATAGAACTAGACTGTTACTTGTTACAATGCATCCTAGAAATTGTAGTCTTAAAATACTGCACAGTTCTGACTATTAGTCAAACTGGAACATGTAATAGTCACTCTTCTACATTTAGTAGGCCTTTAAATAGAACATAGGGCAGGAATGAAGTTGCAAATCAGTACTGTTTTTGCTTTAACCTTACCCTTCCACAGGGACTCAATCTACTACTGGCATTCTCCATGCAGTGCTTATGCAGAGACCACCTGCCAGATCTAGATAAATCTCTTTTTGCTAAGGGAAAGCAGACAGCCTTTTGCAGTCTTCCATTTCACCCATGTGTTTGTGTTTGTTTACGCAACTTAAAGTGGGTGAATACTCATCTGAAAAAAGTGAGTGTGAAATTGCTGTACTTAAATGATGGGTTTTCCTCCCTAGTGTTTTCTCACATAAACGTGGGTGCAATTTTACTTGCCTTTCAAAGAGGGAAAGAATTAGAACATTTTAGTTAAAGAAGGGGAGTGTAGTTCAGTTTTTAGTGGTTTAGTGATATAAACCCTACACCTTTATAAAGGGATACAAATATAATCCGAAACTAAAGGGAATTTTCCTCTGTTCTCTCATCTTAAAGGAGACAGTTGTGGTGTTAGAATGAGTGTGTATGAGTATGTTCACCGTTTTCTGGTTGTGCTGTTTGTGCCTTGACCTTTTTTTTCCACCACAGGAATTGATTTAAGTGTTCTGCACTGCACCTAGACTTGGTTTTGTGACCAAGCCATGGGAATGTATGTGTGAGGAAGAGAGAGAATGACGAGCCGTAAGAATGTGTGTCTGTGTGTGAGTTTATGTATAGAAAAACTTTATTCATTTTGGTGTTGATGGAGACAGGTGCACTGTACAGACTGTAATGTTAAACCACTAATGAATGACCTTACAATACTAATAAAGTCTAAAATGCCAACAAGTACAGGATGAACAAAAGAAGTCACAGTTGTGAGTAAAGACTCTTACTTTGTAATATCCAAGTACACTGTATGTCAAAAAAAAAAACAGTCTGTACTTTTCTGCGAAGGCTTTCTACTAGTTGTTGGAACATTACCGTGAGGATTTCATTGCATTCAGCCACAAGAACATTAGTGAGGACAGGTACTAAAGTTGAATGATTAGTTCTAGATCACAAACTCCGGTCCAACTCATCCCAAAGGTACTGGATTGTGCATTATCATGCCAGAGAAAGCTGGGGTGCTTTATACCCTCTGGTTGACGCTGGGCATTAAGCATGGTGAACTTGGGCTCATTTGTGGCTTATCCAAAGCATCCAATTCCGTTGACAGTACATTTGTGTTTATATTGTGGAAAAGTGTTGTGCACAATGGAACATCTATCCATGAGTGCACTTTAAGGTCACTAATTAGAATGTGTGGTTTGAGCATATAATATACACTACAGAAAGGTCCCTGTTTTATTTCCCACATGCACTCTTGAGTTACAATCCGAATCACATGAAGGACATTTGGAACAAGTGTCATAAAGCCATTACAATGCCTAAAATATGCAGAGGATTGTGGGAAAGAATTTGTACAAATTCAGTGCAAGTGGAAAAGAGATAATTGAAGATGGGGACATGATGTTCATTCCCCACAAAAATGCACTGGGACTGTATTTCATAAGGCATGTGAGACCTCTGAGTAAGAGCAGCGAATATGAAGAATAAATCAAAACCCTAAAATTTACTGATTGAAGCATCTCTGTATTCTAGCACATTTAATAGTAACTTCTTATGTGGATAAGCTTTCAGAACTCCAAGAGCTTTCACAGAGATGCCGAACAACTACAACCCTGTTTGCAAAAAAGTTGGGGTGCTGTTTAAAATGCAAATTAAAACAGAATGGAATGATGTGCAAATCATTTAAACCTTATATTTAACTGATATAGTGCAAAGACAACATATCAATTGTTGAAACAGAGAAATTATATAGATTTTTTTTTTTTTTTCCCATTTTGGATTTGATGCCATCAAGACATTTCAAATACGGTGGGACGGGTCATGTTTACCACTGTGTTGCATCACTCCTTTTAACAACACTGTTTTAAGCATTTGGGAACTGAGAAGACCAATTGCTGTAGCTTTGAAAGTGAAATGTTTTCTTGTTCCTGCTTGATATAGGATTTCAGTTGCTCAACAGTTCGAGGTCTCCTTTGTCATATATTTCATTTTATAATGCGTCCGATGTTTTCAATGTGTGACTGGACTCTTTTACTACAGAGCCATGCAGTTGTAATATGGGCAGAATGTGGTTTGGCGTTGTCTTGCTGAAGTAAGCAAGGCCTTCCCTGAAAAAGACGTTGTCTGGATGGCAGCACATGTTGCTCCAACACCTGTATAATATTTGTACAGCATTAATGGTGCCTTCACAGATGTGCAAGTCACCCACGCCATGTGCACTAATGCACCCCCATACCATCACGGATGCTGGCCTTTGAACTGTGCACTGATAACAGACGGAATGCTCTTTAACACGGAGGACACGGTGTCCATGATTTTCAAAGGGAATTTTAAATTTTGGTTCATCAGACCACAGACCACTGTTCCACTCTGCCTCAGTCTGTCGTATGTAAGTTTAGGCCCAGAGAACGAGGCAGCGTTTCTGGATCCTCTTGACAAATCGTTTCTTTTTTGCATGATATAGTTTTAACTTACATTTGTGGATGGAGTGACGAGCTGTGTCCACAGACAGTGGTTTTCCGAAGTGTTCCTGAGCCCGTGCAGTGATTTCAACTGGAGAATCATGTCTGTTTTTAATGCAATCCTGCCAGAGGGTCCGAAGCTCATGGCCAGCCAGTCTTGGTTTTTGGCCTTGTCCTTCTGCATACAGTGACGTCTCCGGATTCTCTGTATTTTTAAATGATATGTATTATAGAGTAACGTTATTCTTGAATTCTTGAATGTGGAATTGTCATTTCAATGATATACCAGTAATTTGTTTTATCTATCTGAACCATATGTGAACCATATGAATCTTGTCTGAATTCCCACCCCGTTTTTTTGTTTGTTTTTTTTTTGTTTTTTTCTTTCCACCAACATGCCCTATCTGGCTGAGATGCTAAAATGACAGACATGCCTCAAGAAAGAAGGCTGATTCCACAGAGGCAACTACGAATCCAAAGTGTCATCTGGAATTTAATTTAAGAAAGATAGTTTCTTAGTTTTTGTCTGAGTCGCAGCAGTTCCTGACTGGGGCTTTCAGATGTAAAACCACCTCCACTTCTGCTCTCATTTTTAGTCCCAACTTTGAGCCCCAACATTACCACTTTGTCCAGTTTCATTTTCCTTCATTTTGGAAGTGTTACTTATTGTGCTTGTCCAGGTCTGAATCAATGGCTTCCTTGGAACTGGGTCTCAGAACAAAGAGCAAGGACCACCCACAGATGATCTGATGAACGTCGCATGATGGTAAGGTCGATGAGTCTGTTTGAGATCAGTGAAGGGAGATGTACTTGGGTCACTTCGACAGAATGGCCTGCTGAACTCAAAAATGGCCAACTATGGTCCCCCCACCACCCAGCTCGCATTTCCGCTTTGGATTTGTATTTTCTTCTGTATTTACATATTCAAGATAGTTGCCTGATTCATCATGCAGTGTTGCATGCCCCCTGCCTTGTGTGTCTGGAGAGCATCACTGAACTGTAACGACACAAACACACCCCGCTCTCTCTCTCTCACACTCGTCCTCTTGTGCAGAAGCGATAGCGTGGCCCACCAGGGTGGCAGAGCGCTGCATGTTTTGAGTGACTCAGGCAAAACAATTCTTTTGGGACTCACTTGAGCGCAACATCCTTTTTGTGAGAGATCAGTGACCGAGCAGTGCCAGCTCAGTAGTTGACGATGAACTCTTCCCTTCTCTCTCTTATCCAGTTCTGAGATAGGAGGGTTTTTCTGGATGTTTTTCAAGCAGCCAGCATTTCATTTTCAAGCTAAGAGAATGTGCTGGTATTAAATGTTCTTTGGATGTTTTTTGCACTGGAAAATAACACGTCTCTGGGCGATATTTGCTTTTAACACTGGTACTTCAAGATCCTGTGTTTGAATAGGTACAAGAGCAAATATAACCTTGCATTATTTTCTAAAACCCAGGCACAGATGTTTTGAGGGGCTCACAGGGCAAAACTTAATTTACAGCATACTGCAGATACTCATCAATAGAGCAATCATATCTCACCGGAAAACAAATATGGTGTTTTATCAATGAGATTTCCATTGCTGTGGTGTTGAGGTTATTTGTGACAGTTCGGGGTTACCCCAGGCGGTGGTAGATGGGAGCATTTAAAAGTGATGAAGGTCGTGGAACCTAAGCCAGTCCACAAGCCTCCCCCCAGAGTCTGTATGTGTATGTGACGGCTAAGAATAAATGTACTCGCAGCCTGTAGAAGTTGAGGAAATCAGTGGAATTTGAGGAAGCCAAACATTCACACTGGGGAAAGAAATATTGTGTCTGAGGGGGATGGTTTTGTCTGTTTTACAGGATGTTGTGAGAAACATTGTTTTACTTCAGACTCTTCTGCACATGTTGCCTGTTCATTAGGTATATATCTTGTACAACTGCCACCGTTTTGGTGTCACTGGTCAGCAGTGGTCTTATGGTCTTTTTTTCATTGAAGGATGTGGCACACGATGGCTGATAAATTACGCAGAACAACTTTGAAATGGCTAATGGCTACTACACAATAAACTGTCAGTTTGCTGTACAGTTGTATGCAAATGTTTGGGCAATGATGTTGGGGCAGTCATGGGCTGGAGGTTAGGGAACCAGCCCTGTGACCGGAAGGTCGCCGGTTTGATTCCCCCTGAGCCGACAGTACGTGACTGAAGTGCCCCTTAAGCAAGGCACCCAACCCCAACTGCCCCCTGGGTGCTGCGGATAGGGCTACCCACCCCTCCGGGCGTGTGTGTGTGTGTGTGTGTGTGTGTGTGTGTGTGTGTGTGTGTTCATTATTGTGTATGTGGTGTTTTCAGTGCGGAGGTGAAATTTCCCAGTTGTGGGACTAATAAGGGCCGCTTAATCTAATGATCAAATTACATTTTATTGCTATTGAAAATGAGTAAACATGCTCTACAGCAGTGGTGCTCAAGCCGTGTCCTAGAGATTTACCACCCTGCAGAGCAACCCTTATCTAGCATACCCAGTCCAGGTAATTAAGGCCTTCAGGGCACCTGAATGTAACTGCAAAGTGTGTTGGATCTAAACTCTCCATGGTGGTAGATGTCCAGGACCAGAACTGGGCATCCCTGCTCTACCTAAAACACACTTCTGCATAGTTTAAAGCAAATGTACTGTTTAAAATAAACCAGTGTCTTGTAAACCATTGACTCACGGTGGTTGGAACCTATGACAAGGATTCACACAGTTACTGTCCCTTAAGAATCTATGGCTGTACTTTAGATCCATTTGGCAGGAGGATGTCAGGCAGGTCATAGTAAAGGGTGACTCAGATCTTCAGAAGCAGTTTGGATTGGTCACATGCTGTTGCACCTCTCTTAACCACCACATGCTCAACATCTTTGTCACAGGTGATAGAGTCCACTTCCAGGCTAGGTGCTCGGTTGTCTTTGAAGAGCCCTCTCACGTTAGGCATAGGCTGGTTGAATAACTGAGTTGACACAGGTGTGTTGGCATGTCTTGCGGCGAGAGTGAAGATTTTTATCTTTTTTATCAATAGTGCCAGAGCCTCACATTTGCATGCTTTTTTTTTAGTAAAGCGCAGAGACTGCAGCAGGGTTCGTGTCCCCAGTTTAGCCACTGCTGCTTTATTCTAAGAGAAGCTTGGCTGTTATAGGGCAGGTGCTTCACTTTTTTCAAACCAAGAGTTTTTTTATATTTCAAAATACATACCGGCAAGAGACGATTTGGCACTGGCGTTTATGTACACAGTCTCGTAGCTGGTTATGGGTCAGATGAAGGTCAG